AATTGCGACACAAGCTCCAAGGCTGGCGCAGCGACCAGTCCGACGCACGCAGCCGGAGGCAGAAATGTTGCTGTCTTTCCACGGTCACGGAATACTTTGGCTGGACGAGGCTGGCTTCGTGGAGGCGGCGGAGCTGCGTGGCCCATGCCACAACGGCCCTCTTGGGCTGACGCAGAGGACGTTGCTGATGAAGAGCTCCAGCGTGAGGCGAGGATGCCGCGGAGCTCTGGATCTGCCGAGGGTTCTGCTGACGCAGACAAGCAGCGTCAGGTACGAGAAGGCTTGAGGCGATTCTTTAGCGTGTACCTGGAGGTTGAGTCATTCTTGAAGTCGCCCGGGATTGCTGGGTCGTTCTTGAGATCATGGCAGTCGCTGTGCGACCTGGAAGCGTCCACCGCCGCCGCGCGAGTCACACACGCGCTGTTGAGACAGCGACGATGCCTGCCGTCAAGGCAGGGGGGAGGATGGGAGAAGCCGCTGAGCTGGCCGCTCGTGACTGGCCTGGCTGCGCTCAGCGTGCACGATCTGCCACGCCCGCTCTGCTTGTACGACATCTCCAGTGGCATATGCCTTGCGTACAGCCAGGGAAGGTGGAATCGATGGGATCAGTGTCCACAATGCGTGTTCGACATCATCTTTTGGAACTCTTGGACGGGCAGGCATTTCCACTGCAGCTTAGCTTTGCAGCCAGGCAGCCCGGATGATGGCTTGGAAATGCTGTTGTGTTTTCCGCGACTTGCCTATGGCAGCCCATGTGAGGTGTTCTTCGAGTGCCTCGACATAACGCGGTTGGATGCAAATGCAATTCTGCGATCTTCCGGATGTGTAGAAGGTGCCTGCATTGCCCCATCCCTGCTGCCTGGTTGCACGCCTGATTCCAGTGGCATGCTGCAAGTTTGCTGCTGCGTGGGTCTGGTGCCAGCGGCCGGCCTGGTATTCTTGTGTTCGAGCGGGCATTTCATGCGCGTGAGCACGCAGGCGACTCTGCAGTGCATTGGTGCAGCAGATGCGAAAGACTTCATGCTGGCCGGAGCTTACCTTATCGACGTGCAGCTGGCAGAAGAATGGATGTGCCGAGCGGTAATCAGAGCCGGGCGAGACAGCATGGATTGGTCGGTTCCTTTGCAACACCGGCTTTGTGCGACATGGTCGCGCACCGGCAGCGCTCCCGCTGCTGCCTGCTCAGGCAGCCGCCAAGATTCTGTCGGGAGCATGCTGTCGCAGATGCCCACTGGTGCCAACTCATCGCCGCATCGTTGGTGGCGGCACGTCGCAGGAGGACCAGCAGCCGAAACCGCGGGTGGGTGCGCGTGTGCTTGTGCTGAAGAAGCGTTGGCTCCAGCTCATACTCTCGGGCGAAAAGACTGTGGAGATACGTGCGCAAAGTGCTCAGCAAGGGCACACCTGGCTGGCAACTGGCGCCACGATCTACGCGGGGGCACGCATCTGCTGCGCGAAGCGCATCTCGCTCGCAGAGTTTCAGCAAATGTCCGAAGAGCATCGGCTCCCATGTCAATCCTTGCCGTACAAGAAGACGTATGCGCTTTCCCTCGACACAGCACGCGAGCTACCAGCGCCAGTGGGGTTTCACAAGCTGTGGGGAGCGATCGGCTGGTCCAAGGTTCGATACAGCAGAGCAGAGCTTCCGCCGGCGTGCAAGAGAGCATCAAAAGCTTTAAAACCACGACGAGCCTGTCGGCTCGCGCTGCCGCCGGGGGTAGTGCCAACCAGGCAGCAACAGGCCATGCGCGTAGAGGCTTGTGACGAATGTGGGCAACATGCAGCTGCTACATTAACTCCGTGCTGCAAGCCGTGTTCCACGTCCCTGCTGCTGTGGCTGTGTTTGAGGGCCATGTCGGTGCAGGGTGTGCAGTCGGGTGCGCGCGTTGCCTGCTGCGCAGGACCAACGCCGCGAGACTAGAGGGCCGTGCAGACAAGGACATCATGCTGGAGTGGCGGACGTCTACCGCCGTATGCCAAAGCCAAGACAATGAGCAAGAATCGGCGCTCGAATTCGCGCAGAACCTGCTGCAAGGCCTCGATGAGGCGCGGCTAGGGTTGAGCGTCGAACACGGGGCGCATGGTGTTTGCGCTTAAACTTGGGGGATCTATAGAGGCAGGACGGCCACTCATATAGAGGCGAAGTAGAAGTCGAGTTGCATATGGCGTAGCCGTGCTTAGAGTCACCACTGTGTCACTGTGTGTAGACTTATATTGAGTGTCAGGACGGCACAGCGCCCTTCGCTGCGGAAGTGCGGACGAGCAAGCAGCACGCGTGTCAGGTGGCCACGTGCGAGGCATTGCACGTGCCATGCGAGAAGAACACGCTGGAGAAGTGGCACATTTTCCATCTGCCGAATCCGAGCGCAGAGGCGAAGACAGTCCAGGAACTTGCTTCAGACACATGGCAACAGCATCAAGAGGGGCGCATCGGGTGTGACTCATGCAACACTCACCACGACGTGTTTGAGGAAACAAAGATTGACGCCGCCAGCGAGGCTGTGATTTTCGGTTTCCCTCGTGGCGCTGCCGTCAGAGCGGGGCGACAGATCCGCAACCATCACCCAGTGGTGTGCGAAGAATCAATTGCTGTCGCGGACAAGACGTTTCACCTCAGGGCCTTGGTGGAGCACCTGCCGGCAAGCAGGAGCAACGTCTCCTGGCTGCGGCAGGCCGACAGCTGGCTGAGGTGCGACGACGCTCTGGTAGACTCACGTGCACATCTGGCAGATACGGTCGCCACCAACGTTGTGATGGCCTTCTATAGCACACAGATGGTGGAGGAGGACATAGTAACCGCAGACGGCAGCCCAAGACGCGGGCGAGAAAGCCAGAGGCGGGCCAAAGCGGCCGAAGCACACAGGAGCACGCCCAGCACGGAAGCGCAGGAAGCGCCTCCACAGCCGGAGGGCCTGCTGCCGCAAGACATCGACGGCCATCTTCAGTTTGAAGCTTCTGTGGCGGCGGTGCTGGGAACATACAAGCGCGGGGAAGATTGTGTGCAGACGCTGGCGTGCTTGCCTTTGTATTCTTGCGAGGTTCTTGATCCTTCCTGGAGCGACTTACGTGGTCGACTCGACAGATGCATGCAAGAGTATGTGCAAGGCAAGATCGTCGCGGCCGACGCTGTTTATCTGGCGACCCCGATCTGGAGGACGTGTTTTTTCCCTATCGCAGTCCTGCTAGAGGCCTGGTCGCGAACGACAGGATTGCCGACCCTCTGCTACATTGATTGCTTCTTCGCGTTGTTGGCCAGCTTGTTGAACAAGCAAGTGAATTACAATGTTGCAGGGTTCGATATGCGAGCAAGATACTGGGCCGTTGGCACGGCGTCGCCGGGCTCGGGAAAAGCCCAGCTCTGGACCCCATGAAGGAGGCGCTGCTGGAGGTTTTGCGGGAAGATCCCGACCTCGCACCCGGCGTGCCCGGTGACGGCTTCCATGTGCAACCGGTGGGCACTCATGCTGCCGCAGTGGATAGACTGCGAAGCACAGGAGGTTACCAATTTATCGGAGCAGGGGAAGGAGGCCCTGTTCTGTGCCCAGCATGGGCATCCTCCGCGACATGGAATCAAGGAACACACATTAACTGGCAAAGATATTTGGACGCAGCCGCAGGTACGGTTGCAAAGGAATAAGACAGGTCGGTGTAGCTAGGGGCCTGGCAGGCTAGTTGTGTCTTGCTTAGTGATTTTGTAGTCAAATCTTGTTTCAAAGATAGACCCATGTACTGAGGTGGTCCAGTTCCATGGGAAACAGCACTGGAGCGACAAGCACGGCGACGCAGTGCAACCACGGAAGATCACGATGGCAATGTCGCAGATGAGACAAACGTGTCCGTCGTGATTCTCCAGCAATGGTCGTTGCTGCCCACATGGTGGGCAGCTTCAGAAGAGAAGTGCAGCATCGGCCTGGCTGGGCGCTTTGTTTTTTCGTTTGCTGCTGCCGGCGAGCCCGGGCCCCCAGCAACAGCACGGTTCGGCCAGCAGGTTGCGTTGCCCCTCCTGAAGCGCGTCTTCCGAATTGTTCTGCGAACCCTAGGGCCACACTCTCCGCTGCCCACCGATAGGCCCTCTGCTGAAGGATTGCAGGCCGTCTATGAGTTTCGGCTGAAGTGTTCTGATTTAACCAAAACGCATGACATGGACAAGACCTTTGCATCTTGCGTCAACAAGTCTGGTTACTGGCTCACGACTATTGCTTTTTGGACGAGCGTCCTAAGCCAGGTCTGGCCGTGCGCAGCAGCTGGCCGAGACGATGCCGTGCTACATGCGCACATTCAACGTGACTCGTTGAAGCTGGCCATGGAATTCTTTACTTCCCGGTTTTTGCAAGGTGCAGCAGTGCTTTCTGCAGATGTGCGTGGTCGCACCTGGGTCAGGAAGCAGCCACCCTGCATCGCCAAAGCAAACCAGCGATGGAACCTCGCAGCGTTGCTGCTTCTGAAGAGTTCCTGCGGTGTCAGCATAACGGCAGCCGTGGCCCAGAGAGCAGGCCCGATGTTCCGCGGCCTTGCGGCAAGCCCCGGAACATCGACTCGCGCAGCAGCGGAGGCGGCTTATGTTGAAGCCCTGGAGTATTTGCGGGTGCGAGGAATTGGGGTTTTGCAGCCAGCCCCTGACGGGAACCTCCCTGTGTTCCTGAAGAGGCACTATCAGTGGCTGCTGCACTCGTCTAAAGACCAGCTGGCCCAAGCGCACGTGCCAGGAACCGTGCTTGGTTTGCATGTCTCAGGCGCAAGCTGCGCTCGCTCAGGCGCCGACAGCGATGGCGAAGCTTGTGATGGCAATGCAACTAGCGTAGAAAGCGAGAGTGGAAATGCGAAGCCTGCATCGAGGCAAGCAGAGCAGGCCGCCGGGGGAGAGCCTTCGGTTGTGGCTAGGCAGGCTCGAGGAAATGCTTGTGCAGTACAGGTTTCTGCGAAGGTTGCCAAGCCTCAAGCAAAGGAGGAGAAGGAGGAGGCGTGGAAAGCGCCAGTGGCAGACAGTGCATCCGAAACCAAACTGCCGTGGGAGGTTCTTTTCGACGGAGAGCCTTGCAAGGCAGTTGAGAATTACACATGTTTGCGATCCGAAGTTGTGCAGGTGGTCGGAGCAAGGCGGGATCCCGGCATCTACACTTTCGTGGATTTGGGTGTGGAGGGTCCGACGCGCCGGCTGAAGGCTGCATGCAAGCCGGAAGCGTGCAAGGGCTGCACACGGCAGCTTCGGGCATCCTTTCGGTTTGGGGATGCTGGCCCACGTCTCCATGTTCGTGCGCGAGGTAAGCATGGGACGTTGCAGAAACCCTCCGGAGGCTCCCTCTGGACGGTAGCCGAGGAGCACATGCTAGCAAACAAGAGTGATGAAGGAGCCCACGTCACAGCGAAGATGGTGCGAGCAGTGTTCAAGCAAGCCAACATGCCGTTGCGGTGCACTGACGCGCAGCTGCATGCCTGGGTTAGCAGGACCCGAAAAAAACTGTCTGCGCTTCCGCCGAAGCCCAAAAAGTTCTTGGCGGCAGAGATGTACGCTGCGGCTAGTCCATTCATTGCTGACATTGCCCAGTGGCGCACGCAACCTTTGCACAAACTCATCGTGCTACCCAGTCCTGTGTTCCAGGAGGATCGCGTCTGTGCAATCTGAACATGCCCGGGCATGTTGAGCCGCGCAGAAGCTGCTCGAAACAAGGTCGTGAAGCTGGCCGTAGACGGCAAGCAAAAAATTCTTTGTAACAATTACTCCGTGCTGACGCTGTCCTTCCTTGTGGTTCGAGTGAATATGTCACGCAAACGCGCGACAGCCGCGCTCGTGTCAGCAGCCGACCGAAGGTGCACACCCTAACACAGGAGCCATTTATGCAAGCGCTGGTGAATTCAGAAACGGAGGAAAACGCCGCGCAGTTCTTCACTGCGGCCTGCGAGATCGCCGCGCAATGCTGCAGGCTGGATCTGAAAACCCAGGTCTGGCAAGTGCACAAGGATTATGCGAAGGGCATAGAGGCAGCCCGGCGCAAGGTATTTCCTTTTTCGAGGTGGGAAGGAGTGCATAGGGGTGGAAAAAGCATGATCGGGGGTTAAGAAAGCGCAGATTCAGGGGCTAAGAAAATATGTTCAGGGGTTAAAAATAACACGCTTCGGGGTCAAAAAATATGCCGGGGGTGAAAAAAATATGCTAGGGGGTGGAAAAAATGTGTCGCCCCTTTTTTCTGACAGTTCCATCTTAAGCCCTTTGCATCTCCTGAGGATGCTGAATTTCAACTGAAACTCATCAGCGGGACCTCAGCGTGCTATCTGCTTGGCTTGCCCAACAAGCAAGCCTTATACAGCCCGTCCGTTTCTCTCACAGGCTGGGATGCTTTTGCAGGTTTAGGCCGTGGGGAGGAGTCGAAGTTAGTAGTTGCCTCAGGCTGGTGTGCTCGATCGCGGAGATTCTGGTTAAAAAGGTCTTATCTCTTCGACCTTTCGGAAAATGCAGAACTAATTACACCCATATGTATTGGACACACCTCTAGTCTCCTGTCAAGTTGGATCACGGCCACGGAAGCGACTGCATGTTGAAAAGGCGTACTGTAGGCGTTTCAACACAGCGACGCAGGGACATGCTTGTGCAGGCCCTGGCGAAGGTGGAGCAACTTTCACCAAAGTGAAGATGATCTCTTGGCAGTTGCGCGGCAGCCTAGATGTCCAGCCTATCGCACGTGCATCATCGCACTGTGCTGGTATTCGTGGGTATTGGTGGCCACCGGTTGTAACTCGTAGCGAGGCGCTGTATCTGTTTAATTAGAGGAGTTTATGCGAGGGCTTAGGAGGGTATATTCCCGTATGATCCCGTATGCAAGGATGGAGACTACCGTCGGGAGCGATGCTCGCGTGGGTGGCTTTGGGACATGCAGTGCGTCATTGCGTCTGAAACATGCCGCCAACGCATGGCCTGGAGGCAGCCTTGGCGCATGGAGCTTGACGCAGAGTACATTGTCAACAGCTTAACAAATTGTAGGCGGGCAGCACCACAATGTGGTACATGAGCCCGAGAATCATCTGACCTCGCAGCACACGTGCCTAGGTGACCCGCGTGATGCTGTGGACAGGTGCAGTCAGTTGGGGTTCTGCTTGCGACCCCTTCCCGGAAGCAGAATCCTGCGGAGGCCAGCTGCAGACGCTTCCATTCCGGGAGCTGCTAGTCTACGAGGTGACTCTAATGGAGCGGGGCCAAGGTGGAGTCTGATTTTGCATTGCTGTGCTTGCATCGCCCCTCTTGAGGTAGGAGAGGAGGAGGTTCGGTGTGGATCTGCAGATGAGAACTTGGGCGCGATGCCCGGCTGAGAAAACGGTAGCGGCCCCTTGTCAGAGCATGGAGATCCTAGGTGGGAATGCAATGGCTGTCCACTGTGCCTCGGAGGAAACCAAGAAGTCGGATTGTTCTCCGTGAGTCCTACTGGAGGTGCTGAGGACACCTCCAGAAGGCCGGCCTCCGCCGCTGGTCACCCAGAAGCAGGGTCAGCCTGTCAGTCGCGGACAGGCGCAAGGTGCAAATCTTTTTTGACGATCATGTCCGGCGCCATGCCAGCTCGAAACCGAACCGTCCAGGATTAACTTGCCGATGTTCCCCCACGGCGAATTTCCATGCGAGCAATGCTGTCTCTTTTCCTGTCGCTGTCACTCCCTGCCTTGTTCCTGGCATCGAGACAACACGTACACAGAGAGTACGAGACAATGCAAATGCAGCTGCTTCAGCACAAGCTCATCCTCGAAGGCGTGAAGGAACGAAGCTTGAAAGAAGCTCAGCCGCTGGAATGGGTCCACTTCCCAAAGACCGGCAGCTCCTTTGTCAACACCATCGCCCACCTGGCCGGCACTTGCCCATCCTTGGGCAAGCACGCCATCAACGAAGACACCGTCGGCGGCGGCGCTTGCTGGCTGTCCCGCTGGTTCGAGGACCTTTGTGCTGCAACCTGTGTTTGCCGAAGTTAAAGGCCATGCGTGCTCAGCACTGAACAGCTCTCGTCGAAAGCAGAGACAGCAGTGCGTTAAACCAAGCCTGGAGATACCCGTAAAGAACCCGGCAGCCCCCGCCACGGTAGAGCTCCACCTCGAAAGTGTTGCAATCCTCATGCTCTCTCTGACCAAACCCCTGATTTCAGGAGCGTTGCCCACAAGAATGCCATGCAGACCGTTACGTCTGCCAGCAGTCATCCTTGCCACATGTCCCTATAGCAAGCTACTCCGCCCGGAGGGGCCACTTGGTGGGAATGTTCCGTAATCCTGATCAGCGAATCCTTTCCGCCTACCATGACGAGGCTAACAACTTTGCAGCAGAGGACTACGGCAACTTCTTGATCGACACGTCGCACCACGAGATCCAACAGAACGGGGGGAACTGCACCGGATCTGTGGTGAGGGGCTTGCCCAAAAGGCCGCTACTGGACTTTGCCAGGACGTGGAAAGGCGGTGTAACTTATCAGCTGACTGCCGAAAACCAAACCATGACAGCATTGCATCCGCGCCGGCCGCGGGTGACGCGTCGAGACGCCACTGAGGCAGCACGGAGGGTGCATGACGGCTTTGCATTCGTGGGCATCACAGAGGAGTGGGACCTATCAATCTGCCTCTTTCACAAGATGTTCGGAGGAGCATGTAACGCCTTCGAGTTCGAAGACACGAGGCCCAGCTACGATGGAAAGAGCGCAGACCAAGACTACGACACCGCTCAGCTTCAGGGGTGGCACGATGACATTGACGAAGTGGTGTATGCGGCCGCACTGGAAGTCTTCCGCAGAAACCTCGCTTCGTTCAGCGTCTCGCATGAGACCTGCCAGGAGTGCTACGGCCATAAGTCTTCGGCATCGAGCCAAGGGCGGAGGGGCACAAGCCAGTAAGAGTAGTGCACCTCGCGCCATGTTTGAGGTTTCATGCCGGTTGGCCTGCAGGTTTTAATTGTAAATTCTGACCTGGTTTGCACAGCAGTTTCGATTACGCAGCGGGCGCGTTTCCGCGCCATACTTGGAACTCCGCGAGTTGCGAGGTCCCGAAAGGGTGGCCCTCTTATAACTCGCGCCACACAGACAGTGTTTGACGATTGCGCAGACAGCGTTGAGATGAAAACACCTGTACAGCAGCTGTGCCACTATTCAATGCCCAGGCGCTGTGCTCCCTGGACCAAATTCGGAGGCCTTAAGTCGTTGTACCGGAAAGCAAATATCCCAGTCTAGGTTGCTTCACGCTCTCAGGTCAGAAACTTATGTACTAATTACATGTCAATGTTAGAAACAACTTGTTTCATGTTGCATCTTCTTCATGCTGTCACAACCATGGTCCGATTAGTGTTGTTGGCGTTAATTGCGTTGTCATTAGAAGTATGGTATTGTTACGGACTGCTACTGCTACTGCTGCTGCTGCTGCTGCTGCCGCTGCTACTACTACTACTGCTGCTGCTGCTGCTGCTGCTGCTGCTACTGCTACTGCTCCTCCTCCTGCTCCTGCTCCTGCTCCTGCTGCTGCTGCTGCTGCTGCTGCTGCTGCTGCTACTGCTGCTACTGCTGCTACTGCGACGACTCCTCTATACGGCTCATTTTGGCTCAAGCTTCGGATCGAAAAACAAGCGAAAGCATAGAAACAGCAAGAAAAAACGGCGAATCGCCTTGAAACATGCAGTGAAAACGGCCCTTCCAGCATAAAACGCACTCAAAAACAGCAAAACCTCGAGATTTGGACCCGAAAAGAGCAAAATCGCAGTGCAAGCGAAAATCAACACACGAGGGAGCTCCGGTATGGAGTAGTGGGAGGAGGATGCTCTCGGCATCCGATGCCTCCGGGCTCGAACCCCGCTCTCGGGTAGGATAAGACTCACTGTGCCTACTTCGGGAGGACCCAAACCGTTGACGATGCGGGTGGTCGGACGGGGAGAGTTAGGGTGGCACGGGGGACTACCAATCAACACACGAGGAAAAACGAACAAAGAAAAAGAGAAGACATGTTCAAAAACCCGAGGAAAACGCACGCTGTAGAGCAAAATGTCGAAGCAGCAAGAACGAAAAGATGCCGAAAAAGGGTGTGCGGGCGGCGTGTCAGCCGGTTGGCAAACAACAACAGGAACGCAGGATCTCTCGCCTGGCTGCAGCTTGTCAGGCGGCCCCCGGAGTGAAACTGTAACTAGGAACTAGGTCATTGGAGAAACCTTGTCTTGCCCCCTGTCTGACCTTTGTCTCGGGCCCTCGGCGCCTGCCCTTCGCTTGAACTGCCCGCCCTTTCCTTGAGCACTGTTGCTGCCCTTACTTTGCACTGTCTGCCTTGCCTTGATTTTGTTGCACTGAGTACTGAGCTAAATCCAGGATGTCCGCTGATGCTGAGACCCTGCGGCTCTTCGGGGCGATAGGCTACCGAGCACCTGAAGGAGGGATTCAGGATCCCATGGAGGTGAACGGTCCTGGCGCGACGCTGGTGGGACGGTCATGGACTTAGATGAAGAGCTGGGTCGCGACGAAGACGACGACGACCAGGGTCCCCGCCAGGGGGTACGTTGATGTAAATCCGGGGCCCAACGCTGCTGGATCTGTGGCGACGAGCTCAGCTGAAGTGCCACGCTCAGATTTGCTTTGGTACGATGGGACCCCCGCACCTTGAGACCTCCCCTTCCAGGCGCAGATTGCCAAGGATCAATGTCAAGCAGCGTGACGCACAAGAGGACCATGAAGAGATAAACCCAGATGTTCGTGCTGTGCCCGGACCCGGTACGTCGGAGGAGCTCGGAGATGCAATTAGCCCCGGAGGTAGGTTGGAAGAGCCGGAAATGCTGTGCCGACCCAAGTGCTTGTCTCAGGAAAATGACGAGACCCATGAGTCCCCCTCCACGCCCGCGCCTCCTGTTAGCGTAGCAGCCCGACAGACAGGTAAGCGCAGCACCAACCCCCGTCCTGTTGGACTTGGACTCCAAAATTCCAGACATACGCAGGCACTTGAAAAACCCACCACAATGGCTGGTAGGGCTAGACCCGCCAATTTTGTCGCTAATGATGGTCAGCTTGCAGGAGGGATCAGGGGGGCAAGGGATACAGCTTTGTCCTCTTCGGGGAATGAGAAGCCAGAGGTGAAGAAGCCCAAACTAGCATCCTCGGATATTGCACCCGACGAACTATCGTATGCACTCATGGCCCCTGAGCTATGTCAGCCCTTAGTCCTTACTTCACCCTTATATGCCACTAAGGATGAACAGGGGACCCAGGCCGAGCCCTAGTTGGATGGACGCTCTTCAGCAAATCGAGGACCTTCACTCGAAGGCTGACTCCTCCTAAGGACGGGCAGGAGCGCCTACATGCTGAGATGATTGGAGTCAGAGCCGACTTAGAACAACAGGACATTAGAGTCACTGCTTTGGAGAGCACCTGTAGGGAGCATACAGAACTGCACACAGGCACCTTGCTTAGGGGGCTGAGCTTGAGAAGCAAGTTAAGGACCTCCGTGATGGCCAGAGAGAGAGGGGAAGATCACCAGCTCGTCTACGTCGATCTATAGGTCGGGAGATCAAGCACCCTCGCCATGTGATCGCTCACCCCGCAGCCCCAGAGATCGTGACCCTGTTGAGGACTTTCAGATAGTGATTGGAGGTTGGGTTGAAGCTAGAAAGGCTGATGCAGAAGGCAACGGCCATCAGATTTTCAAGCGCCTCAACATTTCAGACAGCATCTCGGAGGTGATTTGCCCCTACGTCAGAGCCAACTTCTGCAGGATTGTTCGTAAATTCCCAGACAACGCGACAAGCCTTCAAGCCCAACGTGTCTTCCAAACCCAGACTCTGGAAAAGCTTAAAGGCACAGAATGTCTGAGGTCCCGGGGTCGAAGAACAAAACTGGTTGTGTCCTGCAACAACCACTGCATGTCGCAGATAACAGCGATGAAGATGAAGAAGAAGATGAAGATGTTGTTATCGTTCATGATCGTGGACCGTCAGGTGGTGCAGTGGGTGTGATGTAGAGATGTGCCATAACCTTTAATTCCGCATTCCAAGGCATGCCGATCAGGACCCGCTGGGAATCAGTAAGCACCCGTTGCACTGCTCCCCTTACACTGCCTGTTTGCCCCTGACTTCTGATTTTGTTTTTATTGCCCTTGCCCACTTGCTCTTCCTACGTCTTGCGTCTTCTTTGTCGGTCCTGTCTCTCCTAACCCGCTAAAACTTGTGCATGGGGACCTGACAACCTGCCCTTGACTCTCGTCTCACCCAGACTTGTGAGCCCGTGGATGGGCCATGATCACTCTGCTCGGAAGCCGATGTTTGCGCTGACGACTGCAATCTGCTCTGCTTCTGGAGACACCAATGCTCAGTACTGATGACCGACCCGTTGTCACAACTGAAGCTTTGCCACTGCTTATTCTTGAGGAGTGACTCTCTCCTTAAGACGAGGAGGAGGGAAGAGCACTACTTCGTAACAGTCTGGAAACAGGCGGGCTATAAAGAGAAGAGGCCAGGGTGCAGCACGGCATACTTGGACACGTGATGGCCAGGAGCCAGACGAAGAACATCTGATGATCAGGCCAGCAACGAATAGAAAACCGGAACACCATGATGATTTGGAACCCTACTGTGTAGAGCCCTGCTGTGTGGTGGTTTATGTTTCTGCTTAGATGCGCTTACCTGGGTTCTGGGACACTGGAAGTCACGCCGACGTCACGCTGACGCCTCCGTGACTGTCTTTGAGTATCACAGCAGCACTATAAAGTCCTAACATCTGTGAACTGCGTGGAGAGACCCACTGCTGAATAGCGTGACACATGATGCTGCAGGAGGGCTATGCCCGAGGAGCAGCTAAGCCGTGTTGACACACTTATGAAGGGGAGGACGGCGGCCATAGCATAGCAACCAACGAAGCTAGGGTTGTTGTCGGAGGCTGCCAGACAATGCACTACCCCAAAGGAGATGCAGGTGTCATACAGACGACCTGTGAAGTTCGCAAACGATTCCTACACTGGCACTTGGGCCACCTTTGCTGTCGCCACGCCGGATATCTCCCCTGAACGCTGGGACCTACCAACACGTCCTGGTATGCTAGCTGGTGCTCTACTGCCCCTTAGTGGCAAAGACAGGAAGCCTTGACGAAGAGAAGTACTGAACCTTCTGAGTCGCGCAAGTAGTGATGATGACCTGATAAGGACCTGCCTTTGATGAATGGCTGTGTGGTCTGGTAACTGTTGGTGAGCCTCTGCATCCTGGTTATCTCATTGGGGGATACCTACAGGTCTGCAATACAGTATCACCTCAACTGAAATAATTCGTTCCCATTCGTTTAATTCACTGGATGTGCATGACCCGAAGAGTAGCTTAGCGTAGCCCTCAAGATTGAACCGCAGCAGACTCTATCCTTTGTGGACGTTGCGTTCCTCGTCTGTTGCAGCACACGAAGCCATGCACACAATGTGGCTCGGCATTGAACATATGTGCACTGACACCTGACTTCGTAATTCAATCGTGACATACAGATAGTTCCACAAAATACTTCTCGTGGCATCCTTGCCAGATTTTGACATGATCACCAGGTTGATGGATGTTGGGGTGTGGTACCTGTTGGTGAGCCCTTTAACGGCTCGGATGAATGCAGGACAGACGCTTTCAAACCTGACAGCAGTGATTTTTTTCCAGAGAGTTGGACTTCGATTCTGCTGGTTTACTCTGGTGGTGTTGCTTCCCTGACGTAAGACTGGCTCTCTGGTAACTCGTGGACGTCAAGACCCCGCAGTGCTGTCGACGGCGTGCCAAGTGGGTGACAAAACTCCTCCTCCTGTTGCTACACGCGCTACTACTGCTACCACTACCACCACCACCACCACCACGACGACGACTACTACTACTACTACTACTGCTGCTACTACTACTACTACTACTACTACTACTGTTACTGCTGCCCAACACTGCCAAGCGGGAGCCAAAAAAACCTTTTCTCTGGTCGGTTTTGGGGTTTTTTCGGTGAAATCAACTCTGCCTTCCTGGAGTGCGGGCAATCTGCGCCTGGGCTGGGCCTCGCCATGAGGCGCTGACGCCATGATGTCTCTCTTGACTGGGCTGCCTACCTCCTGTGTGTGAGCGCTTTCTCAGCCGCCCGAGGAGGTCTGGCTTTTCTGGTGATATGCTGCACGACGACGACCTCCTACTGGCGCCGAATATTGCATGTTTTTCTGCTCTGGATGCTGCACTTTGGACAGTTCTGCGTGTGGCTTTCTACTCTGGACGCGGCCGCTGTTGGTTTTGGCCCTGCATGACCCGGGACATACCTTGGTGCTGCCGTCTTGCATGGAATCCTGGAAACAGGTGCCTGCCGGCAACTGCTGGGGCAAACTTGGCTTTCTTGCGAAGAATTTGGTTACACACATACAAACGTGGAGTGAGACTTGCCAAAGCAGTTGGTGTCCTGGAACTGCCTTTTGACACAGCATTGTGGAACACCGGAGAGCTGTATCGGCTCCCTTGTGATGGAGGTCTGAATTTGCTGGATACAGCCGTGCCCTGAATTCTGGAATTGATGTGATCGCATCTGGCCGCCCACGTGCATTATCTGCATGCCTCCGAATTCCCGAATTGATGATCTTTCATCTGCATGCCCCACTGCATGATCTGCATGCCCCGGAGTATTCGAGTGCTTGCCAATTGCGTGATCTGCGAGACCTGCAAAAGACCCACCGATGCACAAAAGCGTGCATGCGATATGGCCTCCAATCTTAAGTGAGCGCTGTTCTGCGATCTGGAGATAGCTGAAGGCTGAAGGAGAGATCGGTTGAAAGACGGACAGGTCGGATGGAAGGGGAACCTTGCTGACCGAACTTTGAGTGAGAAGGCTGCGTAGGTGCCTATGCAGCATAGTCTGAGCACAGATACCAGCACAGCACTTTGTTTGTGGAGTGATGCCTGCATGTTTTTGTGATGAGTCTTCCGGAAAGTGGAGACGCTAGCCCAGCAGGACTAAAGCTGTCTACCTGGGGTCCCACCATCCGTGCTGAAAGCATGTTGATCTCTCTTCTTCTTTTTGCCGTATACAGACCCTGCATCGTAGGTTCGTCCTAGCCAGGCGGGAGGCAAAAAACTACTACTACTACTGTTACTGCTGCCCAACACTGCCAAGCGGGAGCCAAAAAAACCTAGTACTACTACTGCTGCTACTGCTGCTGCTGCTGCTACTACTACTACTACTACTACCACTGCTGCTTCTGCTGCTACTGCTACTGCTTGCTGCTGCTGCTGCTGGTGCTGCTACGACTACGACGACGACGACTGCTACCACTTCTACTACCACCACTACCACTACTACTACCACCACCACCGCTACCGTTACAACTGCCACTGCCGCTCCCGCTACCACTGCCGCTGCCAATACCACTACGACTACTGCTGCTGCTGCTACTACTACTGCTAACAGTACACTACTTCAATTACTACTACTGCTGCTGCTGCCACTGCTGCTGCTGCTGCTGCTACTACTACTACTACTACTACTGGTGGTGCTACAATTACCACCACCACCACGACCACGACGACGACTACTACTACTGCTGCTACTACTACTACTACTACTACTCCTACGGCGACTACTACTACTTCTTCTTCTACCGTACTACTATTACCACTACTAACCACCACGACCACGACTACGACTACGATAAGGACGACGACGACTACTTTTACTTATTGGCATTCTCATCATTGTCATTGCTTTATTACTTTTGTTGTGATATCCTGTGTTATTACCATTGCTACTGCTATTGCTGTTCTGCTTCTTATTCTTATTATGATTCTCATATTATGCAGCATTTGCTATGCTGAATACTGCAAATTCAATAACTTGCATCGAATATCGGAAAAATGCGCGAAGTTCCCCCTAACTTGATGGAGGGGTCAAGCCACTAAATCCTGAAAGCAATGTGCACATTTCTTATTAAAGATGCGTAGCACAACCGATAGCATTTCAACTCATGGTAAATTCCAACACCTTATGCTGGGTTCTTGGCTTTGAGGTGTTGGAATAGACTCCACTTCAGTCTCGCAGTGCGGCTGAGGTCATCATCCGCAGCAGCGCCGGCCCTGCTCGCGAGTTTGCGCTTTGCGAGGTGGAGGTGTCGCGTGCTCAGATGTGTTTACCTCATGTCATGGGCTTCGAACATGATGTGTTGCTTGTTGTCACAGCATTGCATCGTGCGACACGCTCGAATGATGTCGAATGCGACAAAATGTATCGAACCCAGCCCCGATCGACTCACCTGTGAGGCAAGTGGCGCCTGTTCCTTGCGACTTGCTCTTGGACAAGGCCAGCATGCTAGGTTTCAGGCGTCTTAGGGTAAAGCCTGCCAGGTTCTAGTCATCTGTCATTCCAGAGCGGGCCTTCTCTGTCTCAGAACCTGCTCCCGCCCAGGGCTGGACCATCCATGGCCGTGTTGTCCTGATCTTCCCTCCAGGCGAGGCAAGCCGAGCAAAGTGCGGTGCCATGCTTTTATTGGGGCACTGTTGTTCGAGCCCTGTTGCTGCCATTGACGTGAGGTTGGAGGATGCGGGTGAAGCATGCGAGAGAGCAGGTGGCAGCCTGGTGCCCAGCATGCTCAGTCCCCGGGCAGCTTTCGCTTTCATGCCCGGCAGTCCGCCTTAATTGTTGGCCTGATTCTTCTTGCGCCTGCTCCGATGTTGGCTGTAACAGACCCTGTGCCTTACGCTGCCCCAGAAGCGTAACAAGCCATGGCCTGGATGCTCCGACGGTGCTCCAGGAACACGCTTGCGACTGGTGATCTTGCCACATGCGTCACCACATGAACAGACGTACAATGTGTCTCAAAGATAGATGCATTGATGCAGGTCATAGTAGCTCACATATCTTGGTGGATGGGCTGGATTTAGATTTTTGTCAGATACATAGGTGCGACGTTGGATGGATAGATCGATGGCTGCCGGATAGATGGACAAACAGACAGGCGGATGAATGGGTAGGTGGGTAGGTACACCGATTGGAAGCGAAGCAGGCAATCATGAAAAGGCGATGTTCCTTCAGTTGCTGCAGCTTCACTTGTGGCCTCCGGGTACAGTGTTTCAGGAATCCTGTCCGGCTTTCCCCTTCCCCAAAAAACAGTCGGCGCGGTGTGATTCTGTGTTTTCTTGCTAGAGGACCGGCACAGGTAAACGCGAAGTCGCACGTCCTCCCGGTCAGTTGACCAAGTTGGCGCTCCCAGACCACTTTGGAAAGATCTTGAATATGTGCCGGACAGCACAGACCAACATCAGCACTGGGAAGCTTCGACTTTCGATTCAAAGCAGCGGGAGCTCCTTTCTAGGCTAGTTTACGCGGGGGGGCCCTGACATGTGTAGTGGGAAGGAAGTTGACATTCAGGTGCCGGCGGATGCCATGTGACACCCCAAACACCCCCAAACCCTGTACTGGAGTTCATGCATCTGCATATATCATATGTGGGGCTATCGAGGGAAAGGTGGCAATGTGTTCCTTTCCTTGTGGAACTTTGCATTCGGTACTCTGACGGTCGGTGCATTTCCAGGACCCTTCAGCAGCATCGGCGACGAGTTTTGCTGCTGTGGATTGCAGCTTGCTGGTGCTTGCTAGGCAGAGGCAGGCATCGACATCCTCAGATTCGGTCACATCATGCCCCTAGCCACTAGAACGTGAGGCGGCGTCTTCCTCGCACCACCATCCTTGGGACCCAGCGCCGAGTCGAGCAACGCTCTCCGTGCAGCTGCGCCACTGGGAGCTCCTGGGCTCCGGATCTTTTCAAATCGTAAAGAACACGTCTTTGAACCAGGAACCCCCCCGACTCCGGCAGGCAATGTGTCTTGTGCCCCACACCTTAACGGATCATGTTGGGTCCAGATGGACCTGATGGAGTTCCAGAACCGGACAGTTCCAATCGTGTGAACTCTGAGCAACTCTCTGCAAAGGCACTACCAGTGGTGCTGGCCCCAGCAGCTGCGCATGCGGCGGAGGCGGTGGTTATTCGGAATCGAGGTTCAACTCAAGATACACATTAAGTTGGGAGCTTGCTACCAAAACCCTGACCTTGAGCCCTGAATACAGCTCGCTACAGCAAGGAGTCATGTGCATGTTGCAAATGCATTCATTGCTTTCGTAGGGCTTAGCATGTCAAACGTCATACAACTGTGTGCAACTGGTTGTGTTATTTGTTTGCATCTGTGTGTTTGTTTGTTTGTTTGATTGGTTCGTTGCCTTTGTTGTTTGTTTGTTTGTTTGTTTGTTTGTTTGCGTGTGTGTGTGTGTGTCTGTGTGCGTTAGTTAGTGACAGTTAGTCAGTCAATGTCAGTCAGTTAGTTAGTTAGTTAGTTAGGTAGGGAGGGAGGTAGGTAGGTAGGTAGGTAGGTTCGTTGGTTGGTTGGTTTTGGTTGGTTGGTTTGCGGTTGGTTTGTTCGTTTGTTTGTTTGCGTGTTTGTTTGTTTGTTTGGTCATTTACACTCAGTCAAAGTCTGTGCATATGCGTATAAGGGCGGTTGCTGTCCCCTTCTCTTACGTTATGTTGCATGGCATTTCTGTGAGACATGATTTTCTGCTACTGGTGTCATTTGTTAGGCAGGGTTTGTGCCACTCAGTGTTCTTGTTCGATAGGGGTTCTACACATGTTTCGGGGTGGAAATCGTCCTCCCGCCAAAGTACCGGGCGTTTGTGGTGCCTTCAAAATCTTTGAGGCGTCTAAACCTCTCAGTCTTTTCTGCATGGTTTCAGACTGCCAGGCGTTGCGTGGAGCGTGCCAGCAAACCGCTCGAAGTGTCAAACGTTTGAGTCTAAAGGCTTACCAGGGCCACCCAATTATTTGGCCACTATCATCTATCATCGAACTACATATGGGCAGTTCTCTAAATTAGGGTCCTTGTGGGGTCCTTTTTATAAGGGCTAATGTAGAGAAGTACTCATATAGAATCGACTGTAGATCGCCCTGAGGTGGTGGAGGCGACCATCGACCCTTCTGATGCAATTGTGCAGGCGAGAGCTTTTGGGGACATCCTTCTAGTCTTTTTCGGGGCCCAGATGGCAGATCAGTTCCCAGCAGTTAAGAAGAAACGCCAGTGCAACAGGAATTCTGGAAAGTTTCCTTACCTGCAGCATCGGTGCTCAGAAGAAAGAGTGCTTCAATGAGGGTTGCAAGCAACTTCTACGATACTTTGACTGCTCGTCGTTAAGGAGAACAAGAAACACAGGTAGCAGATGTGTTGAAGTTAAGTGGTGCAGGCCTTCGCGCTGACCTTTGTGTCTGAGATTGGGGACAAGACGTTCTTCATCGCCGCAATTTTGGCAGCCGGCAGCAGTGCCGCTGAGGGTTTGAGTCAGAAGGCACAGTGGGAGGGCGCACAAGTCCGGGCTGGAACACCTCCCCGAATTTGTTCAGGGAAAGCGGACTTTGAACCGTTCGACTACACGATTCTTGCAGTAGTTTAGCGCGAATTGACCGCTCCCTTATCGCTCTGTCGCTTTGCTTGCAATCGCGCCAGGTTTTGACTTTCATTGGGGCTATCAGTGCTCTGGCCGTGATGACCGTGATTGCGGTGAGCATCGGCCAAGTATTCCACGCAGTACCCGATGCTGCAGGCGGTTTGCCCTTAGATGACTATGCATCAATTCTTGCGATCCTTGGCTGCAGTTTGTGCCCCCTGTTCTGCTTCACCCAGATGCTCGTGAAATGCAGGGGATCCTCTTTCTTCTTTCAGCTGTACGCTCGCCGTTGACCCTGCATCGTAGGTTCGTCCTAGCCAGGCGGGAGGCAAAAAGATGCTCGTAGCCTGCAGAAGCATGCCAACCTGTAGACCCTGGCCAAGTTACGTCACGCCTGAGGTTTGGCTACTTCGGTGTGAAGCTCCTTCTGGATGCATCCACTATGGCCGATGACGGCAGCATCCTAGCAGAAGAGAAGGAGGAGGCAGAAGAGGCTGTCAACAGCTCACTCCCAGAGTGGGTGACCAACCTGGCCATTCCCGCGCTAGTCGTCCAGGCAAGGCAGTTGGCATCTATGCATATCTATGTCCTTGACCAATTGCTTCTATATGCTTCTATCCTTAGAACGATTGTCAGGCCTTTATCCTGGTCTTTGCTGCGGAGGTAGGCGACCGCTCCTTCATCTCGGCTGCAGCCTTGAGTGCACAGGGTGGTCCTGAAGGGGCTGCAGCCGTGTTTGTTGGTGCTATCGCTGCTCATGCCATCGCCACCTTGCTTGCCGTCGCACTTGGCGACTTGATCAGCACCTACGTCTCCGAATCTTGGCTGATGTGACGTCACTCTTCACATGTGCATGATGACCGGCGATTGCTTTCAATGTTCTAGCACCCGACATCTATACTCAGCCGGAGCGATTGGACTTTTGCCGAGCTCAGGAGAAGACGCTGACATATATAGGTGGTGGCCTTTTCCTCTTCTTCGCGGCGACATCAACCGCTAATGTGATTGGCCCACTTAGCTGACAACCCTTAACTAACTAGTTTAGGTGACTTGCTCCTAGGTGGGTGCAGCACAAAAATCTCAGCGAGCCATGTCACGCGAATAAATAGCTAGGGAGACACCCTAACATCAGATAACAGAGCGATGCCATCTGATCACGGAAGCACTGCAAGTCCGCAAGGCACTTTCCCCGCCTCATAGTGATGATGTACCAGCAGCAGCTTGAGGGATTCACTACATGCTCATGCTGGTGGCATGGCCTAGCTGTGGGAGTCGCGTCGCATACGTGTCGCTGTGCAGTTCCAACTCGAAGTCCAACGCATTTAGATCACCAGGCGTTGCTTCCAATTCTACCATGTCCGGGCTTCTTCTCAGTTGCTTTGTGTTGACTGTCGCGACACTTCCTGCTGCTTCCTTTGGACTTGTGGTGCCAGCAAGATGCAATGATGTATGAGTTTCCTGGATCAGTTTTCTCATTTTCCTGCGTCCCTTCGCATGACTGACTTGATGGTTGTCCCTGGCAACCCTATGCATGATGCCAAAGGCATCAGGAACTCCGCCGGTGAAGCTTTGCTAGCCGCATGCAGCGAGGATTGATGCACAAGTATGCACCAGGAGTTCATGGCCAGTGCCGACCAAACAAGTATCGTCTTCAAGAAAAAGGACTCCCTGCTTCAAATCTGCCATTGGTATATGCACGAGCACAGGAGATCGTTCACATACCCCTGTGTGCGTATATACACACCACACACATATGTATGTTTATGTGTGTGTATGTATATATATATACACAGACATACTCAGACCATTACTCACACCCCCACTTACATACACCCGCATACGTGCGGACATACATCCATACATCCCACAACCAAACATAATGTAGCATCATGTAACCAAGTTACGATGATGCTGTTGCGTTACGTGTGGCAAGACTGGAGATAGCACACCCCAACAGTTCATGAACTGAAGTGGCAGGCAACGCAACTTGCAGAATGCTCACCTACCAGTATCTGCAGACATGCCGAAGGCGCTAGCCATGGACATATTTTTACAATTGTTTACACATACACGCAGAGACACGGAGACACAGGCAGACAAGGCAGCCAGCCAGCCAGATAGACAGACAGAGAGCCCGAGAGACCGAGAGACAGAGACGGAGAGACGGAGCGACCGAGAGACGCAGAGACAGAGAGACAGAGACGGAGGGACGGAGGGACAGAGAGACAGAGCCAGGCAGCAGGCAGGCTGGTCACTTCTCAAAGAGGGTGAGTCGAACAAATCCTGTCCCAAAGCTTTGCCCAGGCTTCGTTGAGACTCGAAGCCGTCCAGGACGAGCTCTTTGTGTTGAGGCAGGCGGCTGCCTAAAGCGAAGCGCTTCAAGCAAAGCCTCACATCGTCTCACATCGTTCCGCCCGCAGCTATTAGATCAACAAGAGATCAACACGGTGGCCGACGGCTCGAGTCAAGGTTTCTGGACCATATGCCCTGTTGGCGCCCATGGCGCCCCTGCTTCGGCTGTACTACCACCGGCTGAAGCATGGTATGCTCCTGCCGCCGCAGCAGTAGTCATCAGAGAGTGGAGGAGTTTATCTTGTGACAGGTTTGTGCCTGACCGAGACTTGTCAACTACTTGTCCGTGCTAGCTCGCGCGCGGAGAGAAATCCGACCACAACTGTGCCGTCTTGGATGTCTGGATTTCGGTGACAAGCGCATGCATGCCTCCGCTTGTTCAGCTGGGCCTATTCTAGCTGTGTGATCAAGCCTCCAACCCACAGCTCAAGAGCAGGTCAGAGCTTCGCTGAAGCACTGCAAGTTGGAGTATGAAAGCAGAATGAACCCAAGTTCACCCCAGGCCGGCACGCTAGGCCTCCCAGCCTCCTTCGCCCCGCATCCTCGCAGCATGGCGTCTGCGAGGGAAGATAAAGCCAAGATGGCGAGTGCCGCCGCTTGACCGCCCCCGTGGTCCTTGCGACTGTACGAGCAGAGTTCGCAGTGAAGTGCAGAGGCCCTGCGAAAACTCATGGCACTGAGCAAGTCGGGAAGCGCCAAGTCCGGCTCTGACGCCACAGGCTTCTCCTTGAGTAGAGACCAACGGGGGGCAGGGAGAGCCCGGCGTGTGGGAGGCTCGCGGGAGCAGGCGAGTCTGGCGCTTCGTGAGCTTTGCCGTGGCTTAGTGCCAAAGTCAGGACGGAGCCTCGGGATGCTTCCAGTTGGGTTACAGTTATAGGGCAAATTTTTGGGCTGGCGGGAGGCGAGCAGGACATCAATGAGATGGATGCCAAGTTCCAGGCTCTCTTGGAGAAGATCTTGGCCCAGCGAGGCACTCCGCATCACTCTGCAGTCCCGAAAAATCTGAGAGTCCTAGCTTTGGAGTTGTGGAGAGGAGAGCTAGCGCCGGCTCCGGTGGCTTCTGCTGTGAGCGCTGAGACTTGGCTTCGGCGGCTTCGGGCGCCCAGCCTCGGAGATAGCCGACACAAAGCGACTGAGGAAGACCCCTTGGAGCTGGCAGAAAAGCTCGGCCCGGAGCCCGTGGAGGCAAAGAAGCCCGAGCCCCTCAGGCGCCGGCTGGTGCTCACTGAGGACAGCGATGGGCCCTAAGGGACGTAAAGGGACCTATGTGAGTGCCTGTCTTCTGCCGCTTGAGTGGAAGGAGGGCGGAATGTTGGCCTCGGTGCGCGTCAAGGTCCTTGAGGCTTCAAAGGCACTTGGGCGCCAGCTGTGGTTCATTCTGTCCATGTGTTCAGTGTTCATACATGTTGGCCAGATACTGGCACATTGCATGGAGAATGTATGATGTCACGTTCTTTTCAGTCCAGGCCTTGAGGGCCAAGGACAACATGGTCACTCAGCTGACGCAGAAGCTCAAGCAGTGTCGCAAAGAGGCTCCGCAGCCTAGCGATGCTTAGCGGCTTAGCGGCACAGCCTTTTCGTTCGCAGCCCTGAAGGTTTGGGACTTGCAGTGTGAGGCAAACGCTGCCGACTTGAGGGCGAAGTGCTCAGATGTCCGGTTGAATGTGACGACGATCGGATTGGCCTCTTGAAAGCGAGTCGTGAGGTTGCCCGCATCCTGCAGCAAAATTCAGAGAAGCTTCCCGAGAAGTACAGAAGGGAGTTCGAGGAGTTGAAGGAAAAAGAGGCCCATTTCTTTTTTTCATTTCTTGGCAGTCTCAGTTTCCACAGTCGGCTCGTGCTTGCGACCAAGACGACGGCTCTGAAATTCGGTAGCTGAACCCAAATGAAATGCCCCTTTTGGCTCTCAAAACAGCGCGGAATCAGATCTGGAATGCAACATAGTTTTGTGACCCGCGGCGAGGAGGAGTTGGCTGACGTGCTGGCGGTCGCCCGAGCCGAGGCACAGCGCTGGGCCTCCGTTCGGTGCTGAGAAATCTTGAAGCAAGCGCATCATAGTTTCGACTGGCGCCTTCTTCGAAGCCCAAGGTTGCAAAGCGGCAAGATGCCATGCTGCAGCAGGAGAGTGCTTAGATGTGGACGTCCTGACGACTTGTACTCAGCTGCAGACGAGATCGACTGAGCAGGAGCGTGAGGAACAGAAAGGAGCAGATGCCAAGAGCATTCTCATGAAGCACCCAGCAGGTGAAGTTTTCTGGATGCACCTTGGATGCATAGGCATAGAACGACAAGGTGTGTGAAGCATGCAAGACAGGTCTTAAGCCTTAAGCAGTAGCCGAAAGTAGGCCGAATGTCGCTTATCGTGTGTGGTCCGTTAACAGAGAAGCTGGCGAGGCCCGGTCCAGACAGCGACAGCGAGGACGATGCTGCTATGATGCAGGTGCGACGGCGAGCAGAAGACGTCAACTTGGGAAGTAGTGACGAGGACGGGGACACAGGCTAGTGCCGATGTGGCTTTCCATGTCGAAACATGGCGATCGATCCTATCAATCCGAGCTAGTTTTAATTTCGATTGAGCTGCGGCATGCCGACTCTTCGTACTCGTGACTAGGCTTTTCCCACCGAGTGCCTGGGACAGCGAGGTGCACCAGCAGTGATGACAGTAAACACTCGTGTTTTGGTGGCAATGCCGTCAATTCGAATCAACACCTTGCAGCAGTAATGGAACTTGTCGTGCCACTGGTAGCAACCGTACCGACACGGATAACGAGTAACAGTCGTATTGACAATCACTCTCCTTACGCTGTCAGCATCGATGACCATCACCACTTGTGACCTGTGGAGTTTGCGCGTCGGGGCTCGCCAGGCAGTCAAAAGGCGTTTTGTAACCAGTTTCGCACATGACGACCTAAACTGTGCGCATCATCAGCACCACCCCAGCACCACAACCACTGCCATCATGGCCGTCACCATCATCACCATCTTGCTCCGCGTCTTCATGTCACCATTCATCTTCAGGCCTCGTCATCAGACACGCCTTCCTGCTCCACCCCTCCATCGTGATGATAATGATCACTCTCGTCGTCCTTTGATCACGACAGCTGCGAAGGACTCCGACCGGCAGCCCACGCGAGCAGACCTCGCCAAAGCAAAGGCTCGGTTCGAGGCGGAGAGGCGTCTCGACGACTCCGACTCCTCTCTCAAAAGATTTAAGCAGAGTGTAAAAGGTTTGGAGCTGTAGAGAACCCGGATCTCAGCTGGTTCCCTGTAGTCTAAGACTCCGTGGCAGCCACAAGGATTCTCCCAGCGACGATTCCATCGACGAGGTCCGCCCTGTTCGAAGCGGGCAAGGACGGCCCACTAGCTTGGCGCGGATGTTGATTTTGTTGGTTTGTCAAACGTTGACTGTGGCTAAAGAAAGGCGCAGCTCGATGGCATTGTGGCGTGCCGGCGGCATGCCCACTACTGCCACTAAAGAACCGTGAGCGCTCTGATTCAGCTCGCAAGCAAACCACGCGGACCCCCATCGAAGCCATAGAAGCCTGCGGGGTTTCATGAAAGAATCAGATTTCACACGTCAGTGATCTACTGCTTCCCCATGCTATCCTCATGGCCGATCTATCTCGCTTGGAATGTCCGTAAAAAGGTCAGCTCTGATGGATCGCAGCCTTGAGTGAATCTTTGCGAGGAGCTGTACGGGAGACAAAACAAGACAAGGAGGAAGCCACGAGCATCTCCACACCACCAGTGACTCAACTGCAATCAGGATGCAGTGTTGAACGTAGAGAGCTGGCGAGGAAGCGCCGGAATTCTTAGTAGAGGATCATGTTCCTGCGAGGCGACGAAGGCCGTCCCGCCCTTGCCTGGCTTGTCGAGCCTTCCAGGGGGCAGACCTGGCTACGATGATGTCGAAGAGGCCGCTGTCGGTCGCCAAAAAAAAAGGCACGCATGCCGCCTCCAAAGCTGCTCAGGTCTACTCCGATGACTCGATATCTGAGGATATCCAGATGAGTTCTCGCAGCATGTGAGGGCAGAAGCGGCTCTCGTAGCATCCTTTGAAGAGAGTCCATGGCACAGGGGCTCGCTACGGCAAGAGTTTCTCGACAGTATGTTGCACCGACATTTCCGCAAGTCACCAGTGTCTTAGCATTCAGCCGCGAATGCGTGATCCCTCGTCAATGCGAAGCTTGTGACATGTGGCACGGCTGTTTGAGGGGACGTGATGGGCCTTTCATGTCGCCTAACGAGTTGGATTGCGTATCGACATTCAAACGAACGGTTCAGGACTTAAGGTTGCGCTTACACTTTCGTTCCTGGCCCTGACAAAGAGTGCCCTTCAATTTGTCCTGCCAAGCCACGAATGCCATGTTCCCATGCGATGCGACAGGCCACAGTATGCATCATGAGTCATATTAATATTGATATTTACTTATCTACATATTTACATATACACGTATATACACATATACACATATGCACATATGCATATATATATATACATACATATACATATACATATACATACATAAGTACCTGCGTATGTATATGTATATATATAGATATATACACATACGCGCACACACACGCACACACACACACATATATATATATATATTTAATTAATTAATCAATTAATTAGTTAATTAATTAAGTAATACACACACACACACATATATATATATATACACATACATATGTACATCTGTGTAATGAACCATATGAACATACTACATAGTCACCAGCTGCTGCCATACTTGGCTCGCCTTTGTTGCAGCCGAGCTTGACAGAGCCTATGTCTGCAGCGGATTTACCGGTAGCCAGTGAGGAAGCCGACCTTGCGTAGACCACCGCGTGACCGGAAGTGGCATTGGTGTTTGTCAATTGCTTGTGTTGGAGAAGATCTGGCTGTCGGTGCCGTGCCAGCGTTGGAGTGTGCCGAGCTGGGCGCTGGGGATCGTCTGAGCAAAGGCAGAGACACCGCAAAAGTCCCTCCTGACAGGCAGCATGTGCCCCTTCCAGATGCCTGGAGGAGTTCGATACTGAGGTCGAGGAGCGACGATGTGCAAATCCATGGGCTGCCAAGTCCCAGTCCTGCCGTATGCGTGCTACGCAGAACTTCGCACCTTTGACCGTACTCGGCCTTTGGAACCACGATGCATGCGCCTCAACCCGCGAGCATGCCGTCTTGTAGCCTTGTAGCTTGAGCTTGCGTGCTGAAGTCAAGCAGAACCGCAAGAGGATCCACAAGTAGACTTCTGTGTCCGAACGCTGAGTTGGAACGAGTAGCTGATGAGTGCGCAGGGCTCCAAGCCGGATTCTTTGGCCTCGTGGCCTCAAACTCTGCTCGGCTGCGAGCTGCCAGGGTGATTTGGGTCACTCCAAGGCCCGCATGTTCGAGGTGCGTTGTGCTGCAATCGAGCCTCTGCCAGATTTTTTGTTTCGGGCTTTGTCGTAGGCCACTGTCATGATCTACAACGGCGGGCATCCGGATGTGGGAGGGTCGCAGATGACCACGCACTGGTGTCTCAACCTCATGGACTCCGTGCTGCCAGTAAGTGACCCTGGCCGGCGCAGGAACTCTCTCCCCCGAGGCTTCTGTGCGCCTTCGTACTGTGCCGACGACGATGCAGCCATGGTGGCCTCCGGCTCGGAAAAGGTATCAGAAGTCTTTTGCTCAGGCATGCAGAGACCGATCTTCATTGAACTGTGCTCAGGTTCCGGTGTAGAGACACATGGCCACAGGGTTTGCAAAGACATGAAAGCAGGTGGATCAAACTGGCGTTTAGTGAGAATCGAGTGCCGGCCGTATCTTGGGAACAGCCCGGATGCCCGTTCGAGTTAAGACGGTTATTTGGGTTCAGTGATGTTCTGGCCTGCGGTGGCTACGTTGCTCCTGGCTGCCGCTATAGGCACTCCGGGGGGAATCAGCAGGGTACATTTGCACTAACTGTTCTGGGCAGTTGTTCCACTGAGAAGTCCTTCCATGGTTCCCAAGACAGGAAGGAGCAAAAGCAAGGTGGAGCCGTGGCATGCATGCCAGCACAGCGCTTGCAGGCCTCCTTTCGTGGCCGCACAACAGCGTGAAGGAGAGCAATGATGTGACCGTGTCGAGTCGCTCATAACCGTGCGCAACCGGTCGTTGTGCTATGTTGTGCCCGTTCTGCCCCGTGTCTATAATGTTGTGCAGGATCATCCTGGGCTGCTAGACGGCGCGACCTTAGCCGAAGCTGTGGAAGCCCGGCATACGGATTCAGTGCACGGGCAGAGTGCATCAGAGTTTGCGGAGATCCTCTGTCAAGGAAGCCGCTCGGCCGGGCAAGTTTCCCGCCTCCCAGCTACCATGTCATGCTCTACTGCGCTGGACGCCACAGCCACGCACCAAGAGCAGAGATGGCCCTCCAAAAGCTTGAAAGAGGATTGTTAAGCGCAGCATCCCCCCGCCCCCCCCCACGCCCCGGCGCCTCCTACAAAATGGACCACCAGCACGTCTGATTGTGACTGGCTGAGGTCCTTGGCCACAAGTGCCCCGTTGCTGCATGACGTGTGGGCCAAAGCTCGTGATGTCGAGCTGACCCGCTTCACGACGCTTGGCGGGAAAGAAAAGGACACGGCACAGTGGCAAGTGAGGTCTTGCAAGTGGCTTGTAGAATCTCTCCAGGTGATTGAATGAACTGGCGCAGGCAGTTTCGGTGACCGATGCCCGACGAGGCACCAACGGAACGAATGGATGCAGCGAACACTGCCCTATCGAAGGCTATTGCTGTTATCGCATCGAAGGCTATTGCTATTGTTTTGGAAGGAACACTTCGTGTGTTCATGCCCGAGAACAGTCCCAGAACTGTCATTTGTTGAAAGCAAATCAGCTGTTCCGTCACCCAGGCCTCTGAAAGTTTTGTTCAGGACAGTCAGGACACATGGAAAGTCAGCTTGCGTCGCACCTGTGATTCCCAAGGTATCACGTGCCTGGACGGACACTGGGCCCGTTCCTTCGCGCCCAGTCGTCGCCCACACCGCACCGAATCGTCGCAGATAAAAGCACCAAAGAGCTGTTTGAAGCGTGTGCTTCACGCGAGGAGGCGGGCATCATGGCTGAAGCGTAAGCTATAAGAAGCACGCTGCAGAATTCAAGCTGGGCCGCGGCTTGTAGTTTCTTTGCAGAGATGCCAGGAGGTGTACTTCTATTCTGGCCTCGCCGAAGGCCCTCCTGTTGTCGTGCCGTTTAACGGGGAATTGCATCGGGCGCAGGTGCAGGTGGATTGATCCACGAAGACGTCCAAAATCTAGTGAGGACCTTCTCCGATGCTGTGCGCGCAGTGGCAGCCAAAAGCCTTGAGGCACCCCATCGCAGAAGGGACTGTTTTCCAAGCAACCCCTGCGAGTCATTGAACAGACAGACAGCACCCCACATGACCCGCATCCGACACCCTTCCCATCCCCTGAGAGGCGAAAGCAAACGTTTGGATCTCCTGTCCTTTAACTGGGGCATCTGCCCATTACGACATGGGTCACAACGTGGTGATTCAGATGCACCCCATCTGCAAAAGCTGTCGGGGTATCTCTGTAACTAGTTGATGATAGACGCTATCGTACGCCATCCATCCGAGATTTGGTGTTAAAGCCTTCGATTTGCCCCGCACTTAGCGCATGAGGGGTCAGTGAGGCTGAGTTATCCTTTCGGAGATGTGGGCCGCAGGGCCGTTGCGTGTTGCAGGTTGCCGCCGTCTTCCTTGCAGACGCTGCCCATACCACCGACTGGACACCCCTATGCACCTGTGCCCGAACGAGCCCGCCTCCACACCCGGTTCGTGACGCAGCTGTGCAGTCCAAGGCTCGCCAGGCGATGAACGACACAGGCACCAAGTAATCGTCGGCTGGGCCGGTTTCGAAGGCATCTAGCCAAAATCTGATTCGAAAGAATGCAGGATCTACGTTCTCAACTATCACGTTACAGCCTGGCGATGCGTTGCTCAACGGCAGGACAAGAGCTCGTGCTTGTGGCTCCACGGCACATGTATGCTGCGACTGTTGCAAACTATTCGCAAAGGCTGTACCTTCCTCCCCTGTGGGCACATCGCACGTCCTCTGGCGCAGAAGGCTTGGTTGTTGTTCACTGATGATTGAATTGAACCACAGCAAGTCCACGGTTCCTTTCGGTTCGGTTTGTAGTGAAGCCAACCGTTTATGAACCGGATGCGGTTCATGGTGGTTCGGGTCGCGCAGTTCGGGTCGGCAGTTCACGCGGGTGCCCATTGGCTTTTCTGTTGAGATCCGAGTTTAGTTCCTGCATATTCCTTGAATCCGGGAAAGAGGGAGATGTGTTTCCGAGACTGTTTTGTTCGCATGTTGCTTGCGGCTCGGGAGCAAGGCGAGTTTATCAATGTCATTCAGGCCGTCCAACAACGCATGCTGCTTGCCGGGAGAGAGGGGACAGAGTGTGTGTTTGAAGCCTTCCACAAAGCACTTTGCTTGCGGCTGGGAGGGTTGAGACTTTTCGGCCTTAATCCGGCCGGGATCCTGGACTCACCCACGCGCCGGCCAGTCGGACACGACGTGGGGGAGTCCGGACGACTTCCTCGGTTCACGTGTTATGGGCATCATGTGAGCGACGGCTTTTTTTTTACGTTAATACTATGTCTTTTTGAAACGAGATACCTCCCGCGAGGTAGTTTATTGGTCTGAACTTCCTCTAAGAGGGAAACGAGATAGGGGCACCGCATAAAACGAGATCACGTACAAGAATGA